ACTTGCAGACACTTCATTACCCCACTAGGAGACATCATCAGTGCTAGGTAACTAATGATGTTACCTAGTCAGGTAATGAAACATCTGCAAGCAAACAACCAAGCTCAGAGAGCACCTAGGACTCCACAATTCAACCCTGAGCTAAATGTATTCTCTTGCATTGAGACAGTGTTCAATCTGACAAAGCCCAAGCAAAGCAATCTGAAATTTTCAACTTGCTCCCAGTGCCGGCTTTTTAGTATTTAATATTCTATGAATTTAATTGCCTCTATAATCCCAGTGATTTGTCAACATTTTGCAAGCAAAGGAACAGCAGCTGCAACCATGAATTAACGAAAATATTTTTATAAATTTCAGGTAGCTGCATAGCCTGATCACATGCACGTTTACCTTAAACCAGTTCAACAGGACTCAAATGAGACATTATATGGAGATACATAACCATCTCCTAGCAGTGTGGTTATAAACTAGTCTTCCCCAACCTGGTGCCCTTCAGATATGTTGGCATTCAGATGCTGTCTGGGAATTCTGGAATTATAATCCCAATATATCTGAAGAACATTAGGTAAGGAAAGAATTAATTAAGTAAAATTCAGACAAGGGAGGTTACTAGTGTGAGCAAAGGAAAGTGAGATGGAAAGACCTGTTTATCCATATCCCTTCCAGCAGCATATCTGCACAACAACCTAAGTGCTTTCTGAAGGGAAAAAAAAGTAATAAACAAAGCAGATTGGAGGCCATTTTGAGCACAAAAGGTGTCTTAAAGAAAGCAGAGCTTTTCATCTATTCCCTGTTCTGTGGCTGCTTTGTTTTAACACTGCCTATTCATTGTTTTTTAAGGAGATGTTTAATTTACTGGAATAACTATAGAGTAAAGGCAAAAGGAAAGGAAGGGGAAATGCATGCACACAGCTGCAACATAAGTTCAAGTGGAAACTAGGTATTTCAGGCTTCCCAGATGTTTTAGATAAGAGGCTTGAAGCTAGTCTTTGCTTCTTGTCTTTTATGACTGCCAAAAAATGAACCCTTCATGCACTTGGTGGTTGAGTAGATCAGAGGCACACCTCCCCTTCTCACAGGAAGAGCCACTGCATCAAATAACATGGAAACCAGAGTAATTAAACCGAGCAGCCAAACACAAAAGCCAACTACTTCTTTTTCTATCCTGTAAGCATTATTTAAAGTGAAAGGTTGAAATACCTGGGATTTTTTTTAAAAAGAGTATTCATAGGGCATATGGTCCCATTTTAGGAAGGTTTCTTTTCAGCTGAAAACTTTGCTCCGTGCCAAGAGCTGTGTGTAGAGCGACTGCAATTTTATTGACTTGCAACATCAAAAACCAATAGCAGTATGTCTTTCTATGGGGTTTGAGGAGTTGTAGGATGATTCCAATCAGCGCAGCTAGTTTTTGGGAGGAGGAGATGATGATGGTGGTGGTGATGATGATGATGATGATGATGATGATGATGATGATGATGATGATTTTGGCTATATGCTGGGCACATAACATTAAGGTGCTACTTGGATAATTCCTAGGTTCCTGACTGGAACTCAAATTTCCTAAGAATACCAGTGAAAGATGTGATTCTTTTGCTTTTTATACTGTTTTGTTCCTCAATGAATAAATTAATAATAATAATTTATTCAGTAACATTTATGAGTAAAAATGTGACCTGGTCTCAGTAGAATTCCTGTAACATTCTCTGCTTGAACAAGCCTCTACAAATCTCTGCAAGCCAGTTCCTGTCCTTAAGAGCCTCTCAACCAGAGGAAAACCATCATGAGCAGGCAACATTTGAGAGCCCAGCACACAGGACACCTATCTAGAGGCCCTGTTTAGTACAGCATCTTCCAGGACAGTGTGAGAAATCAAAAAGCTTCCATTGATCTGAGAACGACCACTTCCCCAGGAGAAAGGGTAAAGAATAACATGGTGGCACCAAGACACACTCTGACATAGGCCTCCTCTGGCTAGGGCCAGTTCATTCCCAGGATCATAGAAATGATGCAATATATGATTCAGCCCATCAGCAGATAAAGTTACAAAGGTCTTATAGTTGTTACTTTCCCAGTTCTTAATCACGGAAGGAACTGTTGAGTTCTGCAGCTATAGCCTATGACCATATTGTTTATCCTGATGTTTCATCACATGATTATGTGCAAGAAAAGAATCCCATAGAAAAATAGTAACAATGCTAATATGTCTGTGTTAAACTAGCCTTTTGAAACTTACTTGGAATAAATCAAGCTGTTTTTGCAGTGCTTTCCAACATTTATCTAATCAGGGGCATCCACAGGGGAGTCAAAAAAGTCAAGATGGTTTAATTCCTTCTCCCTTATGCTCCTATATACCCTAAAGTGATTAGATAGATAGATAGATAGATAGATAGATAGATAGATAGATAGATAGATAGATAGATAGATAGATAGATAGATAGATAAGCAGCTTTTTTAAATAGAATTTCTACCCCAACTTTCATTTGTGAATGGTAAGTTTGCTAAAACTCAAATTAGCAGAATATTGGGGGTTTTTCTTCCCATGTGTACAAGTTTGGGTCACCATCTGCATACTTCAATTTGAGCAAGGCTTTTCATGCTTAATATGCTAAAAGCAATTAATTATGCCAGAGTGTAAATGGCTCTTGAAGCATTTATAGGTTTCAAAAACAGCTTACAGTGCCACACGGATGGATGGATGGACGGATGGATGGACGGATGGACGGATGGACGGATGGACGGATGGACGGATGGATGGATGGATGGATGGACGGATGGATGGATGGATGGACAGATGGACATATGAGAAAAACTTTAGCTTGCATTCAGTTTTTCTGTATTCATAATAGGAATTATAATAATTGGCAATAAGTGATAACTAAAATGCTGTTTTAAAGATAAATTAACCCACACCATACAAATTATATTTGGATTTCAAAATTTTAACTGAGTGCCAAGGGTAGTATGGATGAGATGTATTTTTAATAAAAGAAAAAAATCCCTCTCTTTAGTTTTCTCTGTTTGGTTCTGTGTGTGCTTATATTATGCACTTGTACTCTGATATCTTTAAGATCTGTTGTAAGACATCCTAAATACTACTGTGGTCAAAACACAGAGTAAAAATCTTTCTATTCCTAATTGTACCAAAAGACAAGCTATCCTTATACTTTCCAAATAATTTCTATTTACCCATTTAGTACCAGCTTAGCAGAAACAATGATGCACTTTGTGAGAAAAGCACTAAACTTGTCATATGCATAGAGTATTAATGAAAGTCCATTCCTGGTATTTTCAAAACTACTCTGTGTGTGTGTGTGTGTGTAAGTATATGTATGTAAGAAATACATATAGTTTGTTTTTATTTAGTACACTTCTACCCTCCTAATAATCCTGTGAACTAAGTTAAACTGAGAAAGACTGACTAGCCAGGTTATCCAATCATCTTCACAGCAGAAGGAGATTTGAACCCAGGTTTCTACTGCCTTAATATGGAAGGTAATGTATCCTCTTCTACAGGCTATTTTATAACTCCAGATTTCATTTGATCCTAGGTTGGAATTGGTCATTGTTAGATCTCCAGCATGTATTTCATTGATTAAAACTACCAAATAATATGAATTGACACAAGTTGCTTATGGAAGGGCAAATTTCCACAATTAATAAGCAGTTAAGCAATTAACAAGCACAATTGCTTGTACTTTTGTAAGAGACACTAGGCAGCCCATGAATGTAAAATCCAAGAGATCATTTCCAAACTCTAAACTCTGAAACATGGAATTCTCCTTTTATAATGTAATTATTATATCACATATTCAGTGCATAATAATTTGCCAGTTAATTATTAGTTAATATCCTTTAAATTATTATAAATTCAGAAATGAACCCCAAAAACCTAAGATATTGTCCTATGTCTAAACCATTCCTCAGTAAATTATAATCAGTTACCATTTGGTATTGACTACTGTGAACACCTTCTTATCTATCATGAACTTGATAGAGTACCGGTTTGGTGACATCTTGGCACAAATTGCAAACTTCTGTATTGTATTGTAACTTGGCTCTGTCCTATTAGGGGGAAAAAGAAAAACATTGATCTACCACCCATCTACCTGCAGAAGAAAATCAAAGAGTGCCAATTTGGCCCATTCAGAATGTAGGACAGTCAAACAGGGAGCTTTCCCAGGTGATGTTCTGGAATCTTCCATGCCACACCGCTGCTGCAACAAGTCCTGGTACTGCAACCATCCTACAGTAAAGGAGTTCTGGTCATTGTTGGAATCATTCAAGTGCTGTATATCAGGTACCCACCATACAATGGGCCTAGGAGCACCATTGGTGTACTTGTAGGGTAGCAGGTGGCTTCTAAATCTCCTGGCCACTACAGGTAAGCTCCGGCGCAAGCCCAAAACTCTGTCCAAGTGGAATGCCAGAACCTCATAGAGGTCAGTGGACCTTTTGATTAAGCCACACAGCCCATTCAAGCACAAACTTTGGGAGTCATGCAAAAGGGCATCTTGATTATATGACAGGGCAACTCTGATAATTTGCCCATGGCCAGGAATTCGGTCCTTCTTTACCACTGTACCATTGGCCAGAAGCCTCATCTTTTCCACATCATCCAGAGTGAACCATGGAAGGGTTTTCTCAGCAAACCTCAGCCTGTCCTCTCCTTTGAAAACAGGATCTTTGCACCATTCTGATTTTCGCAGCTCCTCTGGATGTACAGCCCAAAGATAAGTTCTCTGAAGTTTTTGGAAAGGAGCATTATCCCTCCGTTCCTGAGTGTTGGTTATGATCTGGAAGAATTGCTTGTCTGAGGTAAGAGTTTTGATTAAATCTGAGGATTGGTATGCAGCACCAGCGGCCTGCACATCTGGCTTACATTGCTCCTGTGGTACAGTCAGCTGGCCTGCAGAAGTGTCCATAAGAAATAAAAAGGCTCCAGGCTTTCCATCTTGTAAAGGAGGAAAGAAGGGGGCCAACTGCCTCTGCCGTTTCCAATGCACCTCTTTTTTGGTTGTGTGCAGTGAGAAGCTCAGGTCTCTTCCAACATCCTTTAGAGTAAAAGTGACATCAAAGCTGCTTTTTTTTTCGTTAGCCCTGGAAGGATGCTCTTCATGTTGGAGTCTTCTGCCCTGGTCAAAGTTTTCTGCTGCGATGTTATGATTTCTAGTCTGGCCAGGGAACCTTCTCCTTTTTTTAAAACCCCGATGACTTAATTCACCCTGTCTGCGTGGCATGCTTTTCTGCTTGCAGGCTGGACTGGGATTTGACAGAGGTGGCCCTCCCTGTGCGTGGGTCCGTTTGCTACGGCTGAAACGCCATGGCTGTCGGACAAGAGGGATAGTGGAATTTCTCCACAGATGCTTAGAAGGGGCAGGTTTCACATGTAGCATCTCCCTCGGCAAGTGCTGGAAATTCAAATCCTTGTAGTTGTTCAGGGATGTAGGAGAGAAGCTTGTAAAAGTGATCACAGATAAGGCAAGCAAGAAGCAGTAACCAGCCAGAGGAGATCTCTTCAGCCTTATTCTGCACCAACTTCTATGGGCCTGTGGAATGAGAAAGGAAGATCTTATTTTCCAGAGAAGACATATATGCAGATCTTTCCACATGAGTAAAATCAAACCTACAGAAATATCCAATGGCATGTAATGTGGAAAACAGGTGGACAGAGAAGAAAGCTGCCATGCCTTTCCCATTTCTCCCAATTCTGTGTCAACATTCAGCTGCCATTGATTCATTTATTTATTGTAGATATTTATCTACTGCCCCATCACAGGACACCAGCCAATAAAACATAATAAAGACAACATCATAAAACTTCTAGAATCACACTAAAAAGTCACTGAAACCACAAGTAGCAAATAGAATAGAAATAATATTTTTAAAAAGCAACAAAATGGCAGCCAGCCCATAATCAACCACTGAGATCCCAAATGCCTGGTTAAAAAAAACTTTCTAAAGCTCAACAGTGGGGGTGGGCAGGTCCACAGCAGTCCTTGTCGGGCCTTCGAGGTTAAAGCCATCGCTCTGAATTGTGCGCGGAAAACTCCTGGCACCCAGTGTGGTGCCTGCAAAAAAAGGATTCTACTGCAATATTCAGTCTCGCCCACAAACAAGTGGCCAACTGCATTCTGTGAGAACTGCTTTTTATGGGTAGTCTTCAAAAGCATCTCCAGTAGACAGTGTTCCAGTAGTGTAAACTTGAGGTGATGAGTACAGGAATTTATGGTCCAAGAAGTGTCACCACTGGCATACCAGCCACAGGTGGGCAAAAGTTCTCCTAGCCATGGCCTCTACCTAGGACCTGCAAATCCAGAAGACCCCCTGACTGCATCTCAGCTCCTTCAGAGGAAGCATGATTCCATCCAGAAACCCCACTGGAGCCAGATTTTTTTTCCTGCAAGAACAGTACTTTTGTCTTGCTGGAATTCAGTTTTAGTTTGCTTTGTCCTATCTAGCCCTTAGAGCCTCCATGGACTTCTTAAAGAAACACGTGTGAAGAGAGGGGCTATAGAATGTAGCTACAGCATGGATGTCTGCATGATGAACTATATAAACAGGCAGAAATATTTGGAAATGTCCTGTTCAGATTTGGAGCAATTGATTAAACAACACCTGAATAACACTTAGGAAGATAGAAAGGCTGCAAAATGGAAAACATGCTCAGTGCTTTTACTTAGGAATGAGACATGAATCTCTGATCTTATTACAGATTGTTGATCTTTTCAATTCACTTCTCACAGGGAACAACTATCATGTGTTCCCTTGTCACTGGTTTCCTCCCATACACATAGCACAATTCTATCTCATATAAACAATATTTTGACTCATGAAAGAAAGCTTATGTTTTAATTCTGAAAGTATACCATGTTCCATACAGGGATTCTTCTATCATGACCCTCAAACCACATCCCCTTTTTGCTATTTATGTTTAGCATCTAGCCTCGCTGCAGAATATCTTCAGGATTACATCGTATAAAGGTAAAGATGCCCACCAGGTGAGCCTCCTTCCGTAGTGACTTCATGGATATGTCCATGTAGCTTTCTTGCCAAATTCATGGGAATAGTTTGCAATCCTTTTCTTCTGGATTTTTTTTCCCCCCACTTTTCCAGTCTAGCATACCGCCCTGAGCTATTTTGATAGTTTCCAAACCAAGTAACTAACCAGACCTTATCCCAAGATCATGTTCAGAATATTAGTCTTAAGCTGGCCTGCACAATGTGCAGCCTGCAGGCCGCGTGCAGCCTGCCAAGCAGTCTTGTGCAGCCTGCCAGCATTTTTAAAAAAAAACTCAATGAATTCACCACCACCCCAAAAGACTCGCTGCCAGACAATGCCTCCAGGCCGCACCGCTGCCACCAGCTCCAGCACTGCCACAGCTTCACTAACCACCAAACAGATGCTTGGCACACCAAGTATTCCTTGGCAGCCCACAATGATTTTTAAATTATCAGTGGCCCCTTCCCCTTTACCAGGTCTGCAGGCCTGGTCTAAGTGTGAGGCTTGGATTTTAAAAATAATTTTTCCTCATCTTTCCTCTGAAAAAGGGCAGTCAGAAGATAAAAATGTCACTCTGTCTGAATCCCCTGGGTCAATAGATGTGTTTTGTGAGCCTTTCCCTACCAATCTTGATTTCTATGAAATGTTAAAATGTCCTTTGGGGAAAAAGAATGAATTTGAGCTTTAATTGTATATGTATGTTCCAAATTACCTGGATGTGACAGATGTCTTTGGCCCATGAGATTAGCCTTATCATATTCCCGGTCATGGGCTAATCCAGTTTCCCAACTAAGGGCTGGTCAACCAAGCTAAGGTCAAGAACCACTGGAACATATTTTATTTTTCTGCTTGCTCACACTATCAATGTGCTTTCAGAGTGCATTTATGTTTGGGTGGGCTAAAGCCAATCAAAACCTGATCCAGCTTTTGTTTCCTTTGTTGTAAATTCTAGAACTGCAGCCCTCAAAATAAGCAACTGGTTATTCAATCATTGTTTGGGGAATTCCACATTTCTAGTTCATGGCAACTTTGGCTGATCCTGAAAAAGCAAAGCAAGATTATGCACACTAAGGGGGTACATGAAGTGAAAAAATGTGTTATGCTCAGTCCACAGACCAAACACATTGTGGCTCAGAATTCTGCCAGACCATTCCACAAAGATAATAATCTTGCTGAAATGAAACCTGGATCATTTAGATCAGTGTTTTTCAAACTTGGCAACTTTAAGATGTGTGGACATTAACTCCCAGAATTCCCCAGCCAGCATGCTTCCCTCTGTGGCTCCTTCCCTTAGCCACCATCAAACTTTAATTCAAGGGTGGCATACCTACTTGACTACCCAATCTTGCCTGTGCCAGCCTTCCTAGCCACTGTCATCCTACACCCATCCAACCCACCCGTCCTACCTCTCTCCTAATGCTCACCTTCTTTCCCCACTGCTACTTCACATCCATCCAACACATTGATGTGATCCACCTGCTCTATTTCTCTATCTCTGCATACCTTCCTTCCCCACCACGCTGCTGTCCCTTCTTCCACCCATCCTACTTCTCTGATACCACGTGCCACTGGCTTTCCTTTTCTTTACTGTCTTCTGCCACCAAACACCTCTGCCACAACACACGTACTCCAGGCTCATGCACAATGTACTGCATGAGTGCGTTCCAGATCAGTGCATGCATACTTCAGTCTCAGCAAAGACTACCTAATACTGTGTGATCCATGCACAGAATGTTCTATGCACAAAGTGTTTTGCATATCCCTAAATGCCACCATGAAACTCTAGATCTGAAGACTGAACTGGGAAGAAAGAAAACTGTTGGCAAAAAAAACCAACCTAGGCATGACCACGTAGTCACCAGGAGTTAAGTTTTACTTGTATATTCCTAGCCAAACAGAAGGAATGTCCAGAGTCCCAATTTCTCCAGAGAAACCTAGAGAAAACTAGCCCTAGAGAGGAAAGTTTCCAACTACTTTCATGGAAGTCCTAGTTGCTCCCTGGAAGACAAGAGTCTCTCTTTTCCCATAACTGCATTCTCTTGCAAAAGACCAACTCTCTCTGCCTCTCACCTGGAGGAGCAAGCTGGCCTGCAACTGGGGGTAAATTCTTCAGGGACAACAGTGCAAAGGCACATTACAGCAGTGTGATTCTTGCCAAGGAAAGCCAGAAAAATAGATCCCAGAGCTTTGCAGTGTTGCAGTCCCTCATTTAAAATCTTTTATTATTAGTGTTGATGCAGACCACCTCCATTCTCCAGCACTGCTCTGGAACAGCCTAGCAAGATTCTTAAGAAAAGTATCCCTGTAAACTCTCTGTCTCTATGGAGGATTGGAAATGAATAGCCTTTTTACTGCTTTTTCTGCCAAACGCAGCCTAACAACAGTAGATAACAGTCAACAGGCACTTTAAGCCCATCTTCTTGCCAGTATCCCTTTGAGAATTCCTTTCATCCCTTCAGCCAGACTCCCACACCTTCTGTCTTTCCACCACCACCACCAAACTTCAATTAAAGCCATTTTTTTCAAGCAGACCATACTCATAATTCTTGATGATCTCAGGTAGACTTACGTAATAAAAAGCCTGACATAAGAAATAATAATTCAGATAATGATTCAAATTTACCAGTCATATTGTTCACTCTAATTGGGATTTAATTCTAAATTGCTCTCATTTTTTTGTATTTTGCACTGCTAAACATTATTTGCTTCATGGAAGTTTGCCTTTTATTCTTTCTTTTGTAGTTAGGTTATAAATCTCCCTGACTAAAATCATTAGAATTTCTTACTCCTTGAAGAGTAGGCTTTGTTTAGCAACTGCTTCATTTAGCAACCATTCACAGTTCCTACGGTTATGAAAAGGTAACTTTATGACCAATCATTTGCATTTATGACCTTTGCAGGTCTGTAAAGCAAAGGAAAGCTGAAGTAAGATCATAAGCACAGTTGGGTTTCACTTAGCGACCACTAAGGATTGCCTGTAGTTCTTACAGCCTATTTTACCATTCTTTAGTTGATCAATACACATATTTTTGTTTTCTGTATTCTCATGAATGAGTATACCTGCAAACATTTGAAGATCATGACTTGGAGGGGGGGAATATGTATCCTCCCCACTAGCCCAAGCCAAATTGAATTTCTCTCTCCATTATATATGTTATTTCTAAATGTATAGCTTAACATCTATGCAAATGTTATGCAAATGACCATCCTAAACACAGAAAGAAGACAACTTCCATCTTGGGCCTTCCTTAGGAGTGGTTAGAATTTAAATCTTGAAAGTGAGGCAAGAAAATGTGAAGGCAAGAAGAGAAGGCAGCAACAAGAATGGAATACAGGTATATGCAAATACAATTATAGAGTTAATTTTCTTTTCAGAGCTGAGTTAAGCCAAAGCCTGCCTTCGTTCAAGGCAATCACATATTGAGTATGCAGATACGTTTACACAGTGCTTTTATTGGAGTAGTTGATGTATGCTGGATTTCAAAAAAGCCTATTGTGAAGAGGTTAAGATTTCTACAAATAAATCCTTTTATGACAAGGCTCACCTCATTGCCATGGAGACAAATTCTACTAACTAAAAAGCTCAGCTGTGTGATTTTAAAAAAAGCACACACAGCCAATAGCAATACTGTATTCTTGTACAATGGTCTGGTGCAGTGTTTTTCAAACTTGGCAAACTTAACATGTGTGGACTTCAACTCCCAGAATTCCCCAGCCAGCATGCTGGGTAGGGAATTCTGGGAGTTGAAATCCTCACATCTTAAAGTGGCCAAGATTGAAAAAACACTGGTCTAGTGCAACCTTTCCCAACCTAGCAACCTCAATTATGTCAGGATTATAATTCTAGCAATTCTCAGCCTGCACGGGCAATGTTCTGGAAGCCAATATACCCAGGTTGGCTGGGTAAAGCTTTTATAATGATGGAGCTTAGGCCACCTCCCCCATGAGTATGGGTAAAAATGTCAAGATGGCAGCTGTGACCACACAATTGAACTCTGCCAATAATTACATGTGTGACATGATCAATGCATAGAAAAAGGGGTTGGCCTTTAACCATCATGGCCCTCGTCTTGACTTTTCTGACCTCCATTGTGGATGCCCCTGCCCAGGCAGATTCATGCTTTGACAAAAAGAGAGACCTTGCTTTTCGATTATATTCAAAGAAGCTAATGTCATTAAAATCTTCATCATAAAAATACAAACACTCAACATCTCCCTGTAAACTCCACAACGTTTATTGGCATAACTGCAGTCCCATGTATAATTTACTAGGGAGAAAGCTCCACTGAACTACTTGGTGTTTTATTTCTGATTTTATAGATGAGATTAAAAAAAGCTCTTCAGCCTTCTAAAATGCAGTCATTTTAACCGGACATGCAAACAATCTGATTTCCATGTATCTGTTAGCATTTATACTAGTAGTGAAGTAGGGCCAGTACCATTTATACTGGTAGTGAAATATTTATACTGGTAGTGAAGTTATCAAAGTAAAAATAAGTGATCCTTTGCTATTTGAGTATTTTCCCTATTCTATGCTGATTTGCCATCTATAAAATTTGAAAACCTCATTTGCTTATTAAAGCAAAAAGATCTATTCCAGAAGATGATACTATCATGCTTGCCCATAAAGAAAGTTAAAAGCAGTTATGTGGTTTATAAAGTTATGGATGCTTGGACCTTTCACAAATACTGAGCCAACAAAGGGACTGGTGATAGAAAAAGATACAGGTAGTTTGAAGTCCAGAAAAGTAAGAACAGCATTATTCTGAAATCAGATTAGGAAATTGAGAGAAATATCAGGTAATGCAGCTATCAGACTGCTACAATAATCTAGACATGAACCCATTTCTTTGTCGCCTCTGTGATAAGAAACAAATGGGTCCTGCAAATATTCATTAACAAAAGTTACAGCAGTTTCACTAATGAAGGACTCAAGGTTCCTTACCCCAAGGAGGCCCAAGCATAGCAGTTCTGAAAACAGAACAAGAGACTGGAAAACAAGGGGTAGGACGATCAGGATGAAACACCACAACCTCTGTCTAGTGTATGTTCAGTCTGAATCCCTCTTAGGACTCGGAAAGGGATGTTCATGCTGTCATTCACTGTGGTTTTGTGTTCCCCAACAGGGTAAAGGAATTAGAAATGGCATGTTAGAAAGATTCCATCTCACCAGCAGTAATACATATTTTATTATATAATATATCATAATGTATTATATTATTGTACATAATATATAATGTATATTTTAATCCAGTTTCTGAACATGAATATGGTTTATGCATAAGTTAGGAGATAACCAGGGTGGAAATTGCTTTCACACATCAGTTTTTCAGTATTGGGGGCTGAAAAAGTATTATTTGGCAGAATTATAGGTTGTTAATGACATGGGTCATTCCAGTGCAGATGAAACCAATCTAATAGGGAAAAGTACTAAGACAATTCCTGCAAATATACAACATCTTAGGAATCTGCCCTAGCCTTACTAAGGGACTGGTGATAGAAAAATACTAAGGAAGGAGAACGTTTATCTCAAAGAGTAATAATAACAATGGAATGATTAGGTTCAGTTTTCTTAAATATGTCACTCCATACAGGAAGCACATTCGGATCTTGTTCCTTTTTTGTTCAATGGCAGATCAATTCACAAAGGAAGGTTCTGCAAACTTTTACAGTAATACCTCGGTCTACGAACGCTTCTGTTCACGAACAATTCAGTTCACAAACAGCAGCGTTTGCAGATTTTTGCTTCCGTTTGCG